GCAGGTGACAGGGGACTTAGCAATTAACTCTCATTGTTACGTATGAGGTGATTTTCACCCAGAATCTTCTAGGACTTCTTAAACGCTTTGCATTAGGTCATCCTTGGTTGATCTCATAATCACATTATTCCACAAAGTGTATCCATGCAGCTCTGGACATTTCCACGTTGAAAGACATTCCACACTGATCGGATTCACTCAGAATGGACTTTGATCAACAAGACTGTCTCAGTATCCACAGAAGAGTCCTGAAAACACACTGCTTAATCTGAGCAAAACCAGATTGGGATAATCTCTCCACACCTTCCTCATTCTTCCGAGCAGGTATAGTAAGGAGCTGATTCTCTCCAAATATTGAATGAACTCAAGCACCTTATTCAGAGGGATTGTCTGGCTTCCACGACGTTTCATTTCACATTTTCATTTCAGCTCACTGACTGCGTGTCCTCTCCAAGGACGCAATCCTTGATTGGATAGTGAAGTTCCTTTTTGTCCTGTAGCCAGTCATTAAATCACTCAACACTTTTTTTTTCAGGGTTTTTATATCCGGTATGTGCTCATTTCTTTGCTGACTGCTGGGAATGCAAATGTAAGAAAGACATGGTTTCTGCCCTCCAGTCTAGTACTAGAGAGAGACTTGCAAACAAGGAATTCCAGTACAGTGTGCTGTGCATCATGATAAAGCAATGTGCACGGTGCCCTGAGAATCAGAGGACGGACACCCAGAGAGTATTAGGAGAATCAGGAAAGAGACTTAGAATGGCACTAAATGTCTCTTTTGATTCCCCCCTTTCCTCAATGTCTGGGGAAATCTTTCTTTTTCAAATTAGGTAATTGTAAGGGTATAAATTTCTTGGGCTCTAAATCCTAATAATAGGAGTCATACTTTTCTTTTTTGAATAATAGGAGCTCACTGTTTGCTGAGGAATACCAACAGTCAGACCACTGGAAATTTGAAATCATGGAAAGTGCCAGCATTTTGCAATGGGTTTTTCTGAGACTCGTGAAAGAAATCTCTGATACATCAAAACCAACCTCTGGCTTTCACCCACAATACACCAACAAAACAGTGACAACCGCAGTCACCCAGAGAGCGCGCAGGATCTGCGGGGTATCACACAATCCCTGGGTGCCACGAGGAGGTGAAGGCACTAACACTAGGGGACAGGAACTTCTACTGTCCTTGATTTCCATCAAATGGATTTCAATGGAAACATTTTGTTTTCCTAGATCTGCACTTCTGATTGGGTCATTCCAGAACGATACGCCCAACAATGAGAAGAATTCCTTGCTATTATCACAGAGTCATGCCCCCATCCATGGATTGATACATGGACTGGATACAGACTTCCTGTGTATCCCCTAAAAGCCAGACTACTGGCTGAGAAGTATCTTAGTTATTCTGGTGCATGTATATTCTGGGTTATGCTGGCCTCACTGCCAAAATCAGGTTTGACATCGGCTGAGAAAAGTCTCAGCCAAGAAGATGGCATCATAGCCTGTTGGAGCAACAACAGATCAAACCCTCTTGGTCAATATCAAACTTCCATTTGGACATGGGTCTCACAAACGTCCTCAGGCATGTCACTTCCAGGATGGCCCACAGTGCCCTGGACGGCGCTCACAAAACGAGTGATGAGACAGCTGATAAAGCTGTTGATTCGTTTTCTAAATTTAACTTCCCAAGTAACAATTGCTAGCATTCACAAGAAGGTGCTTTCAGCAGTGGACAGAGCGATGAGATGTGCTCCGCGTAAATGAATCAGCTGAGAGGAGAACCGCAGTGTCACAAAACGTAGGTGGGTGACATGGGAACACAGCGCAGTTCTATTTTAAAGAGTTCTTATTTATTATCAAAGCAAAATTAAGAAATTCCCTCAGCTTGAGACTCTCAAGAAGCACCCTGCTTACTCCCATGGTCTTCAACATGACTCCAAAGCAACCTGTCAAAGCCCATGGTGGAAACTATATTCCATTCCTTTCAGACAGGAAGTAGGTTCCCAAAGGCTCAGCTCCTTATCAGCAGGGGGCGGCATAACTTCTCATCCTAACCTTGACACTAGAGAGGGAAAGGGCATGGCTAACCAGCTGGGACACTGGGCAACAGATGTCGGCCGTAACTGTCCCGGGGAGACAGGTGGCGACCCCAACCATCAGAAAGAGGCTTGTTGGTTCCAGTCAGTCATTTTTGCCCCTGACTACGCATTAGAATCATCTTGGGAGAAAACACACATACACATACACAGACAAGCATACATCTACACCTACATACACGTACACACGTCTACGTGCACAAATACATATGCATACACATACACACACACACATCCATATACTGAGATGTCCAAGTCCTACTCCAGACCAATTAAATAAGATTTCCGAAAATGGAGTGAATCTCAGACTTCAAGAATTTGTAGAAGCTCCCCCTAAGTGCTACACATAGGCAGCTGGGCTGAGGACCACTGAAATGGAAAATCTCCAAAGCCTTCCCAGCTCTCAAATTACGGGATCATGATTCCTGAGAATGTATTTGCCACCCTGGTTACAGTCAAACTTTTATAAAGGCATACTAGAACCACATTTCTAGAACACAAAATATTTCATACCAGCACGACAGCAGTCAACATTAATGTATGAAGAGTTTACACTTTACAACATACTTTCTCAGCACCATCTTTTTTTTTTTCTCATATTAACTTCATGAGAAAGTCAGGTTGGTTACTATTATTACTGACTATGTATAGGTGAGGAAACTGAGGCTTACCAGATGAAATCTGTAGGTATTAGTCATATTACACAACGAGCATGTGGAACAGCCACGATCACACCTAGACTGGGAACGGGAGCAGACAGGAGCAGGTGCCTGGGATTCCTGCCGCACAGTCTTGAGCTCCACTTCTGTCACTTCTTAGCTTGATAAACTAGGACAAGCTACGTGACCTCTGCATGCACTATCTGTAAAACTGAAATAAAACTGATACGTGCTTTACAGTGTGCTGTGGCTGTAAGCACTGCACGAGCTTTCACGTGGCAGGACTTAACACCCTGTGCAACAAACACTAACAATTATTATTGTTGTGATTGTTACTATTTTGCTACTGTTACTCCTTCTCCTCCTCCTCCCCCTTCCTTTACTGCTATAACTACCATCACCAGGACTGATAATCATCATTCCTGCTCTAAAGGCAGAGTAAATGGCCCTTCAGACAAGCTTAATCACAGCAAAACCCTCTGAGCTAATCTTTGCCCTCTTCCCACACAGCCTCCCACAAAACCAAAAGGAAACATGAATAATCTTCAAATAAGACGCTCTAAGGAATCAGACAGCCCGGAAGTGTTGCCACGTGGAACTCCGGAAGTCTCTGGCAGATCCAGCAAACAATCAGACTCTAAGCAGACGATCAGCTGGATTTAGAAACCTGATTGGAAGCCACCTTGCAGATAAGCAGCTCTGGGCGGCCTTCCAGAAGAACCTGCTGATCAGCGACAGGGGTGCACTTCATGGGCAGCCTCCAACCGCAGACCCCTGGGATCTGCTCTGTGTTTGTATGGAGGCCACACTCTCCTCGGGGAAGCTCCCACTGCTGGTGCAGTACTGGCCTCAGTACTGGGGTCTGACCATTTCCGCCCAGTGGCACTGCTCTCCAGGCCATCTCTGCACTGGAGCTCCCATGGGCCAGCAGTGCAACCCCTGGCTCTTCCTACCCACTCCTCCCCCAATGCCCCATCCTTTCACGGTCTCAGATGACACTGTGGTGCGTGCAAAGACCTCCTGGTGAAAAGTAACAGCCAAGATACCCCCAAACATGTCCAACAACCCCACCAGGGACAGCGGGGCAGCACCCTACTCAACTGAGACTCAATAAAAAAGACACAAGATTGTTCTGTTCCAAAATTCTATTGTTTCGTGATTTTCTAAGAGTTTATTTACTGGAAAACTTCTTCGGAGTTATAAAACATGTCTGCCTTGTCTCTCTTTCTAAAGGAGTGTCTACAACAGGAGGCGTAAAAGAAAGTGACTATAGATCATGTTCTATTCATGTCATCTTTGTTGTGCAAATTAAATTTGCTTTGCCACATTAACTCAAAGATACGAATATTTTAATAATGCCAGATCTATAAATTGCAAGAAAAATGAACTAGAATTTTTAAACTTATTTAGTACCAAAGAACCGGATTTCTTGAAACTGTATTTTTTCATCTAGCAAGAAAGGTATTCTAGATTACTGCATTTCCACTTTAACCATTTAATTTCATTCTCATGTTAATTCATGTTTTTCAACATATTGAAAACACTAATAATCAGATGCTTTATGCTAAAGGGTAGACAATTTGAAAATAGCTGGATCTAGTAATCTAAATGTTTTTAATCTTAATATTATTGTGGTTAAGGAGAACAGCAAAAAAAAAAAAGCCATGTGCCCAAGTTGTTCTATATTCTTTGCATATATTAACTCATTTAGCTTTAGAAACATTTTAAAATTGAAGCAAAATCATTATCTTTTCGTACATATTAACAAACATTTTACAGATTATTTGATCTCATGAATTAAATGTTTCTAATGTTAATATTGTTATGGTTTAAGATAATAACAACACAATAGTTAAATAGTACTTACTATGCAACAAATAAAATTCTAGGCTTCTTACATGTATTAACTTATTTAGCCTCATACACATTCTGTAATTTAGGTATAATCATTATCCATAATTTATAAATTAAGGAACTGAAAACCAGAGAGGTTAAGTAACTTTCCCAAGGTGACACAGCTGTAAGTGGCAGACCCTGGATTTGAACCAGTCTGCATGAACCAGGAAAAACAAACGCTGACTTACCTTAAGCCACGTCAATTAAATTTCTAGTCTGTAAGTGTGTACGTGGATGTAAATGTATCAGTGCACATGCAAACTGAGTAATTTTAAGTCAAACCTATTTGACTTAGACAAATCCAACTGAATGTTAAAATTCCAATAGTCCTGATCATTGTCAAAGTACTCACCCAAAGTATTCGAGGCATGTTCACGGTGCCTTGGCAGCCCACCCGCCCTGCTTCAGGGAGGCTCATGTTGCTGAACAGCTGCTCCTGGAAGGGATGTGAAGAGTTAGCAAGGCCTGCAAGCAAAGCCAGCTCAGCGCTCAGACCCGCTGGGTTTCCATCCAGAACTAGAATTTTCCAGTTACGCTTCAATTATCTCGTCGGAGCTCTTGGAGTCAGTTAGCAGCCCACACCTACTGTGTCCCCTTCCCTCTGCTACATCCGGGAGGTTTTAAAAGGTAAGTGTGACTCCAACACTCTACTGAACGAGCAGGTGCTCACAGGAAGAGTCCAATTTACAGCAAATATTTATCACTTGCCTTTCTATGGGATATTCAAAAAAATACCTTAAACTTCAGAAGATGGTTCCAAAAAAAGGGCTCCCTGCTTTATCTGTGACTATGATACAATCCTCATGAATGTTTTTTCCCCCAGTTTCACTGAGATACAGCGGCACACCCCACTGTAGACATTTTAGCTGCAGAACATAATGATATGACTGACGTACATCATGAAATGATGGCCACACGATTAGGGAACATCCATCATCTCATACAGATAGAACATTAAAGACATAGAAAAAAACAAGCATTTTTCCTTGTGATGAGAACTCTCAGGATTTACTCTCTTAACAACTTTGATATGTAGCATACAGCAGTGTCCATCATTTTTATCATGCGGTACATTACATCCCTAGGACTTATCTTATAACTGGATATTTGTACCTTTTGACTGCCTCCATCTAATTTCCTCTTCCCACTCCCACCTCTGGTAACCACAAACCTAATCTCTTCTCTGAGTTTGTTTGATTTGAAGTATAATTGACCTAAAACGCTATGTTAGTTCCTGATACTCAACACAGTGATTCGATATTTCTACACATTTCAAAATGATGACCAAGATAAGTCGAGTTACCATCTGTCCCCACACAAACACATTACGTAATGATTGATGGTCTGATTAATGCACTTTTAAACTCTTTACCCACACTCTGGAATCCACTGGTCACTATTCAGCTGAGGAGTCTTGTTTTCACATGTGAGCTGACTCCAGGGGCTGGGTTGGATTAACATTAAAATCACCCGGCGCCATCCTAGTTTAAGGGTTAAACTCCTTTCTCGCAATGACTGGGCGTCACCTTTCTCCCTCTTTAAGACTGTGGCCCACCTCTCTCATCATTATGACATCCACAGGGCCTCTGAAAATGGCAACACACAGAGGCCTCTCTGTCGACACTGCTGAATAAACACATCCATAGTCGAGGGAGACAGTTCATAAGCCCTTGCCGTGACTGTGTTGAATAAATCACTTCCTGAGTTCTGATAGATGTGTTAAAAAAAATCTATCATGTCACTTTACAGATATCCTTGCTCTTCAGGCGTGTTTAATACTTCTAGCACTGACACCCAGGGCCTGCCGTAACTTATAAATTTATCAAGACACAAATTCAGACAGCATGGTTGTTCAAGCGGGTGGGGAGACATCATTTAGGCGGTGAAAACGCAGCCTAGTAAATAATTAAACATCAGCATCTGAGATAATCTTTGTTCTCTTCACATCCCTCACAAGTGGGCACTCTTACGTGTTAAAAGGAAATTCGCAAGTCTAGGTTACTGATTAGCTGCCTGAAAGCAATACGCAAAAAGGAGCCTTACATACAGTTAATATTAGGTCATTGACTATATAAGCAATTAAGTTATCGGCAATTATTTGGTTAGCCTCTCTCACACTGATCGCTTTCTACGTAATGCTTTGCACTAAGTTTGAGGCAGAAATCGCTAGAAAGCACATTATACGTTACATTTCCCTATGTGTGTGGGATATATATCGTACACATTAATTTCACATGGGTAGACAATGTTTTGTTTATTCTAATTTGTATTTGTCTGGATTCTCTAAATTTTCTATGGGGAATACGTGTTTCTTTAGAAATAAGTACAATTATTTTATTTCTCAACAAATTAAACTCTCACAGGGCTAGAAATAACTCACACTTCTTTTGTGAAATAATTATTCCCCCTGGAGTGCATATGTACACTCACACATAAACGTAATTTAAAAGCCTGTTTTCATGACCTAGCAGTTACATTAGCAATAGTTCTAATTATGAGAGTTAATTAATAGAGAATTACACTAGTTAATACAGAAATTCTTATGTTTACTTTTTAAATTTAGCTTTCTTCACTAAAAAATATGAGTTCATAAAGTGGACTCATAAAGTAATGTCTACTTGGAAACTCAATGAACATTTCAGATAAAAATAAACATAGACTACTCAGCCATAAAAAAGAATAAAATAATGCCATTTGCGGGAATACGGATGGACCTAGAAATTGTCATCCTAAAGTGAAGTAAGCCAGAAAGAGAAAGAAAAACATCATATGATATCGCTCATATGTGGAATCTAAAAAAGGAAATGAAAAGAAAAGACAAAGAAAAAAAGGACCCTATGAACTCATCTACAAAACAGAAACAGACTCACAGACATAGTAAACAATCTTATGGTTACCGGGGGAAATGAGGTGGGAAGGGATACATTTGGGAGTTTGAGATTTGCAAATGTTAGCCATTACATATAAAAATAGATTAAAAAACAAGTTTCTTCTGTAGAGCACAGGGAACTATGTTCAATACCTTGTAATGGTCTTTAATGAAAAAGAATGTATGTGTGTATATGCGTGAGTGGGACATTGTGCTGTACACCAGAAATTGACACATTGTAACTGACTGTACTTCCATTTAAAATAAAATAATAAAATAATAAAAAATAAACATAAGAACAGTCTAAACAAGAAACTATACTCTACAAGCCATTTGACTTTTGTTCAAGACAGAACTGAATTCATCTATCCATGAAATCTGTAAGTACTCTACAGAGTCAAGGTGAAAGGGGGAGGGGATGAGAAGGACAAAAACGTCTATATTGATCTAAGGTGTCCTCCTTCCGATGTTCATATATTTGATTTTATAGGGAGATTTCAGTCATGACTCAAGGAAGCCACCCCAAGTGGCCCTTTTGATGCAGCATGTATAGACTCAAAGGGATGGTAATCATTTGGTCTGAAAACTTCCTGACTTCCGTGTGGAGGTGATTTGGGGAATGGTAAAATACAGACAGTGGAGAAACCACTGGTTGGTAACTGGACTGAGGCCACATTAAACTGAGACTTCCTTCGAATATATGTATGTATATGCAAGCCTGGGACATTGTGCCGTACACCAGAAATTGACACACGATAACTGACTGCACTTCAATTAAAACAAAAAACAAAACAAAACAGCCCTCCTTGGCTCTCTCAACCCTGGCTTCTCCCTGGCATTTACATCCTTCTGGGGTTTGGGGTGTTCCATGCTTATCAGCCGGCAGGGGGCAGCCTGGAAACAGTTATGGAGAACAATAAACATTTTGACTGTGCCAAGAAACCTATTTTCACAGGTGGGTCAGATCCATCTGGCATTAATTTTGTGGGGTTACATACGTCATCTTGAAGGATGCATGGCCACTCTTCTGAAAGTCACTCATTAACTAAGGGCAAACACTGCTGAGAATCCGCTATGCTTAATTGCTACTATGGCTTTAATCTGATTCCTTGAACAAAATCAAGGATCAGAAGTTTTCTCCAGTCTTTGAGAACAGCCAATGAATAACTGGGGGGAAGGGAAACTGTTAAGATAGTGATAATAATCTCTCAACAGAGTGTATACTAAAACCAGCCTTTATAATTTTCCAGTAAACTGTTACTCTGGTGAACCTGGTTTTCATTCCTTTGCTCCCTTATGTTGGCCAGGTCATCCAGCAAAAGAGCTTTAGCGTGTGTGAAGCCACTTTCTTTACCTGTTGCAGAGCATTTATGGTGGAGATGGAGGTGAGGAATGTAACTTGATTAGCAAAGGTACACAGTATGGGTTCAGTAACTGTTTCCTGATTGTTAATTATGATTATGCTTTATGCACAGGACATTTAACCGAGAACAAAGGATGCAGCAGAAAACATCAGGAGTTTTTGTCCAGCCCATGAGCCTCCAGGCCTGGGCGCCCACACCTGGCCATTCCTCACTGGTTGGACCAGGGATGGATCCTGATACACATCTGGCCAATCATACATTCTCTCTGCCAGAAATACAGCCCAGAGGGACAGGGACATGACTCTTTCGCCCATGGCTGAACTGAGGCTCTGTAAACTTCAAAACGAGGGGCTCCATGTTTGATCACGTGCACTCTGAGAAGCAGAGAGCAGATGTCCTGAGAGGATGGGGAATGCGAAGCTGCCCGAGAGTCCACAGGGCCCTGGCCAGCCACAGGGGAAGCACGCCTTCTGAGGGCTTTCCCCTTCCTAGAGCCCATCTTCTGGGCTGCCACATTTCCCTGGGTTCTATATTCTAACAAGAATTTTCTTCATCCATATACGATGATTTTTGCTTTTACTCTGAGCAACTGAAGGAGACTGAACCAAGGCAATAAAATCTCCGAAACAGATTCTTTTAGAGTTCCTTATTTTTTAAGTAGAACCCAATAGTCAAGACAGTCTCATTTCAGGCGTAGAAGAAAATTTCTTCTCTCCCCTTTCCCTCCCAGATAATGTCTGGGTATACAGGAGAATACCTCTGAGCAGGGCTAGCGTGATAGGCCCCACGCTTAGGACCCCACACCTGGTTTAACGCTCTGCTGTCACCATCTGGGAATTCATGATAATCTTCTCTTTGCACTTGCGTTTGATAAGTGAAGTCCAATGGGACAGTAACGTATCCACACGAATGAGTAGAGAGGATGTGTGAAATGCACATTTCTGCTTTTCCTTGCCACCATGCACAGGGTCTGCGATGCCAGGAGGGCAGAATTAAGGAAGAGCCACAAGGTGTGGGAGGTCAGGAAGTCTCCCAGCAAGCAGAAGGTAAGCACGCTGCATCCAGGAGGGAGCCCGCTAGGGTGCTGCCAGCCTCAAAGGACACGTTATCCTGTCCCCGCCGGGACCTTCTACAAATGCAGAAAGCAGGCAAGCATGCAGTAAGAAACACAAATGACTGAGATAGAACCCTATTACGTCCCTTCTCCCTCAAGTCACTTCCCTGTATCGGCCAACCTCTTATGCTAGAGGTGATGACACAGAGGGCAAGCAAAAGACAGAGTGACTCAGTTCCTTTTCCTTTCAGTTCGTGCACACTCGTCAGGCAGAGGATGTTGGTGAAGTGCCTATGTATTGAGAAGCTAAATCGAAACAATTGGGTTGGTTTTGCACAGCATCCTTACTGGTCTGGTAAAAAGGAGACATACATGCATGTGCGAGCTACAAATGATGAGCTGTGTGATGTTGCAGATTCTGCACCCTAAATGGTCTGATGTTTGTCTCTAACGTGGGCATCAGGCGAGGGCCACGTGAGTGGTAAAATTCATGACAAAATGCAAAGTTTAATTTTTATTTACTTACAAAAACATGAAATAGCAAATAAAGTCCATGACAAGTTGAGACAGACAGACCATGGAAGTGAGGAAAAAGCTTTCAATGGCACTTTTTTCCTCTGAACAAGCTCCTTGAACAAAGGTTCTTGCCTTTCCCTTTTGCACCAGAGCCCGCAAACTTCGCACTGTGCATTGTTCCCGGGGCTCTGTGGCACAGGTGGAGATGGGGCGTGTGATCCGGTAGCAGGCAGGCTCTGTGCTGGTCTGGTCTGGTTCCTGGACCGGCGTTCACTGAGGTCAGCTGGCATTCTGAAGTGCCAGGTTCGTTCCTGCTCAAGTTGAGTCCATGGTCCTGGTTTTTTGTCTCAGTTCAAATTCCACCAGGACTGCAGGCTCTGCACCCCAATCTCTGGCCGGTCCGAGTCTCCCAGCCCTCTACCACTGCTCAGCAGGCTGTGCAGAATGTTCCAGACCTCCTGATGACCAGGCTGAGGCTTCCTTTAGCACCGACTTTTTGCCTAGGCACCGCCCTCTCCTAAACCTGCACGGTGGCTCTGGCGCCACAGTGGCCACATTGACAACTCCAAGAATC